ATGGTATGTATTTAAAAATATAAGGCTTATTTATTATAATATTCAGTTATGAGGTAATTGTAACCTTTTTATCAATTTTAGGAACCGCTAGAAAAGAATTGTACGAAAAGTGAATTTTTATTTCATATGTCGAGACCAATTGATATAAATGCTAAAATTGATAGATGCGCATATTATCCAGGTAATCAAGCATATACATATCATACAAACATTGAGATTTGCATTGTATAATATTTATTAACTGCTTAATTTATAAATGTAATTATCTAACCATAAGGTGAAGTTGTGACCATTGTGTGCAATGTTAGTAACAAATCATCCGTAGGAGTGATACCACGAGTGACTTTGAGACAAATACAGACTTTTAAACAATTAATGGCCGCAAAGAATAATGAAAAGACAGTCCGAAGACAAACGACACATGCGGTCAAAAAACAAAGATTGGAGGGATCACTAACGGAACCGGGACTCAGCACTACTCATATATTTCACGTAAAATTATTTATTTTAAATAAAATTGTATTATATTTACGGTATATTAGTTAATAGAATGTAATTATTTTTGATTTATCATATTTTATTGAATAGTAATATTTATTTTTATAATATTATACTTTATATACAGGTGGAGATTCCCATTGATATTCCTATATCAGTGGACTGTCCTATTCTAACGGTTTCATATGACTTGCATCTAACTGTTGACATCCCATCAGCCATTGATCTACACTTGGATCTACCCATTATGATCACCACTAAAAATGTTGTCAATCAGTATAAGCCATATAACTCTGAATATAAAATGACATAGAAATCAAAACTTTATAAGAGTTCTTTCCATCAGCCATTGATCTACACTTGGATCTACCCATTATGATCACCACTAAAAATGTTATCAATCAATATAAGCCATATAACTCTGAATATAAAATGACATAGAAATCAAAACTTTATAAGAGTTCTTTATAAGTGTAACTATTATTGTAATCAGTATTTTGTATTTATTTTCAAGAATTCATAATAAAAAATTAAATGTAAATAAAAAATATTTTATTAAAAACCAATTAAAAATTAATTATTACATACCTATACTTATGTAAGAATATGAATTTACTTACTAGTTAGTAATTGTCGTTATAAACAATGTCGTTATACTTTGACTATTTATTAATTGCATGATATTATCTAAAATAAAATTTGAAAAATTTAAATATTAAAAAACAAATAATTTTATTTTTATATGTTATTATATGTAATTTTATCAGAGAGAATAAGTTGTATTTTTTAAATTGTTTTATTAAAAATTTATATATATTTTATTCTTATTCCTAATAATAATTGTTAATTTAGATAATTCTTTAACCGGAATATAGTATTAATAGGTGACCTAGATGAGTGCCTGAGCCAACATAGTTATGTAAACAAAGGTTCTGCCCCAAAAGGCCTAAACTCAAATAACTAACTGACCAATGGACATAATTTAAATTAAATTAGTGGAATAGACGTGTCTTGACCTAACCTAACTAATCCTAACCTAAATTAAGCCAAATGACCATTGGTCAGTTAGTTATTCAAGTTTAGGCCTTTTGGGTGAGTCCCGTAAACGTAAACAAAATATATGGACAACAGTATTGAATGCCTGTGTATTGAATGCAAGCGATGCGATGCACACAAATGTATGCAAACGTATACAACAATACTGCCAATTATTGTTCATTATCAAATCCCCCAATTCATGTGAAAAATCATGCAAGGTCATAGGAAACATAAACATGTTTAGCTAATTTGCAAATTATTGCAATATTAAAAATCACATTTTGTTTCTCAAATCAAATGAAATTTTATTAGAATCTCTATCATTAAAAACTGGTTTATTAACTTTATTGGCTATATTTCAGTTGTTAAATGTAAGGATTCGTCATCACATTAATTATATCAATTATTTTAATAATCATTTTATAATTTTAAGTAATTTTATTGAATCTTCAAACAATCAGGAATTATTTGCAAAGTATTTATAAATACTTATTTAAACAGTCGTCCATATAAGAAATAAATGTCATGAAATGAGTTTGAGTTTTAAACAAAAATACAATCATGGACAAAATTAAATTAACTAATTTTGAAATAGTGTTGGACTCCCATAATCCTACGTATGGATTGGGAAGTCATATCACGGGAAAGTGTGTGATAGCACTGGAGGGAAGACTCGATTTATCACAGGTTTTGTATTGACATTAAAATATGAAAATAATACAAATTATGTCGATTGTAGGTAAGGATGCGATTGAAAGGGTTAGCCCGAGTAATGTGGCCTGAAGGCGAGGGTTTTGATAAAAAGGTTACAATTACCTCATAACTGAATATTATAATAAATAAGCCTTATATTTTTAAATACATACCATTAATTCGTTACAAATAAGTGGCACGGACACATTAAGTTCAGCCTTGGCTATTATATTCTTTGAAAACATCGGTCTATGAAATTCCGCTTCAATCCAGTACCTAATTGATCCTGAATATCCAATAAAGCTCGATGCTATTCCCCTTTATTTTGATCAATATATTATTAATATTTAAAATATTCTTGCAACAAATACTGCATAATTATATTACAATAAATACGTACTCATGTGGTAATTGATAGGAAAATGGGAATTCATATGTGCCTTTCGATAGGATTTGACCGAACGCTAGAAAATAATTGTAAAATTAAAAATATAGATACTATTATAATATTGTATCAAGCATACAATTATTCTTAAAATCGTAATCCATTGCAAAATATTTAATTGTATCCCAGTATGAATCGTCGCCTTCAGTCCAGTAAACACGGGCTAACCCTTTAAATTGCATCGTAACCTAAAATATCGATATTTGGGGTATTTGAATATTTTTATACAATATCTATACAAACCTTTGACAGGTCAAGGGTGCCGTCCAGTGATATCACACACTTTCCCGTCACATAACTACCCAAATAATAGGTCGTGTTATGGGAATCCAACACTATTTCAAACTTTCTTAATTTAAGATAATGTGCCATGATTGAATTTTGTGTATTAAAACATATTTGACTTGACTATAGTCAACTCTTTTTATATAATAAAGACATGCGATATAATGTATACTAAAATATAAACATTAAATATACTTAAATGAGTGCAGCATATATGATGTACTGGTACAAGAATTGATTGCACAATAAAATGATAGCAGTAATTCTTATACAATAATGTGTAATACAGATGATATGATTAATGTGATGACGAATCCTTACATTTAACAACTGAAAGTTAATAAACCAGTTTTTAATGATAGAGATTCTAATTAAATTTCATTTGATTTGAGAAACAAAATGTGATTTTTAATATTGCAATCATTTGCAAATTAGCTAAACATGTTTATGTTTCCTATGACCTTGCATGGTTTTTTACATGAATTGTGGGATTTGACAATGAACAATAATTGGCAGTATTGTTGTACACCAGATGTGTTCAGGTGGGTAAGAGTGAGCATTATTACAGTACTTGTAATCATTTTATTACAAACTAATCACAAATACCATAACACATGTATGTGTAGGGATTAATAATTACTTATAATGAAAGGGATTATAAAAATTGTCAAATAATATAACATTAATTAGGATTGACTCAAAAATTGTTTACCTGTAAAAAACATCAATAAATAATGTCTGGACACCTCTGTTGTACACGTGTGCATACATTTGTGTGCATCGCTTCGCTTGCATTTAAGGTTGCACGGCGCGTAATATTACGCATTTTACAGTGTAATATTACGTAATATTGCGCATTTTACAGTGTAATATTACGTAATATTACGCATTTTACAGTGTAATATTACGTAATATTACGCATTTTACAGTGTAATATTACGTCATATTACGCTTAATATTACACCTCCAAAAGCAATTTACGTAAAATTAAATCCATGTAAGAACCATATTTAGTGTAAATTTTCTTAAAATTAAAAATTATTCAATATTTTATTTAAAAATGCAATAACTTGACATTAGATCTGAAAATTATGTCAATTTATACCTAATAAAGGTATGTTAATTAGTTAAAATTTAGTCGATGATTAGTAAAACCGCTTGATTCTTATCAAAGATCACTATAAA